TGTATGGATAATGGATACACGGTTGTTTGAGGTGTTAAAAAAAAAAAAAGCTGAAAATAACTTCTCCATCGGATTGTAAGGGGGCTGCACGCTTGTATAGTACTCGCTTTTACACATCGCAAATAATCGTTTGGTAGATAAATAGATAATATAATAGTGAATAAAGGAGACGCTCGATATCCCCCAAGGAATAATCACCCAATTGGACTGTTAAATGTAGAATGTTTATATTTGTTTTTTAACCAAGCCTTCATAAGCCCCGTGAAATATGTTTGCAGTTAAACACATCTAATATACTTGACATGCGTATAATTCTCTGTGACCAAACGTCAAATTCCCGCTGCTTTCTGACACTTATAAGAAAATAGGAAACTCGCTATCCTGATTCGGTTAGTCATTAACTACTCGATATCTTGCACATTTCTGGGGAAGTGCCCATCGTGCAATCCTGCTCTTGGTTCCTTAGAGTACGAAAGCCGTGGAGAAGATGACAAGAATCACAGATAATGATACAAGATGAACGGCGTATTTCTCATTTCGTTTCCGCCATTCTTGGGCGGCAGACGATTAGAACGCCGTCTCAGCTGCAGTTCAACACGAAACCGTCGACGTAAATAATAATAATAGTAAGCAACTACTATTTGATACTAGTAGGAGAGACATTTTTGTTAACGCGGTGGCAGCAGCAGCTGTAAGGGATTGCGTACACAATGCTTTGCAGGCCTAAGCCGGCTTTGGTCAAAGTGTCTTTGCAATAGCTAAGGCTAAGGGACGTCACGGGAGCGATTACTTGTCTTGCTTTCATTTGTCTGATTTACTTTTGCTTATACTAATCAATGTATTCTAATCGAGCTATCAGGCTATGGGGCTCTATTCTCATCAAGCTAGAGCCGACTGTTCTTTTTCATGTAGAGTGATCAACCGACAGATCTGAGGCCATTTGTCCTAATTTGATCCTATAAAGTGCCGGAATCAATCGTTACACAAACTTGTTATAGTGAACTTATAATTAAGCGTGATTGGGAGTTGTAACCCATTCTTCTAAATACTCGATTATCGCGACTTGAACTTTTGATTAAGCTAATGAAGAATCGATCATTCTGTGATACCGTCTCCTCTTTTTGATGATTAATAACAGACCAAATACCCATCGACACTGTGCTTACCTATATCAAATAAACGCCTTTTGATTCTAGATAAATCCTATGTTTGCTGTTTAAAATGGGTGTAATTTTATTTTGGCTTCCTTAAATTTCTGTCTTTCTATCAGCGTCATTAAAGGCTACCCAACGATTAAATCAATCGGGCAACAATTAAAATGTCTTATTTGTGTAGTTCCTATTTAGGATTATCGTTAATGAAAAGCTGGTTTTGTTAGGCAAATAGTAGGTCTTATATTTTGTATCTGCTACTTAGCGCGCAAATGTTGTCTATTTTCCATGCTCATTCCATACATCTGAATGATAATTTGAACTAAATCTAGATAAATCTAATTCTCTTAATTTATTCGTAAAAAAACAACACTAACGATCTTCGTCACTGCTACAGTAAATCCATAAATAAATGTTTTTTTTTTTGGTGATCAATGAGTAAACTGGATTTTCTGCTGCTGTTGTCTAAAATTGGATTTTCTAAACAGCAATTAGTATCAATACTTGTTTGATCGCATCTAACGAATTTCCGTATGCGAAGATGGCAGAAGCCGTCCACTTCTATTTTATGATGGTTCTATATACCTGATCAGACAGCCAGAACTTGCTCTTTACTACTGACAGTCTTCGCTATTTGATCCAACTAGACTAGATAAAGTTTTAGGATTCCGCATTGTTTTCGGATCCCGAAGTGCAACGGGACAGCAGTGATATGGCTCGTGCCCATCCTGTACCGACAGACGCCTACAATAGGGGAGCCGATACGCAAGACATATTACAGCAACGACAACAGTAAGAACGACAAACAGACCGATGCCTATTGTTGCTTCAACATGTTGCATATATGAGGTGGGGAAAAAGGTGTAGTTTTATCTCTTCGAACAGTGTCCTTCAATTCCGATTACTTAGGCTTTCTCTCCTATCGGAAACCTGCAGTCGTCAGACTTTCTAGCAACTAGATGACAGCCAATGTCTAAGGTCGTCATTCGCATTGAGAAGATTTGCCAGTCATCTAGGCTTGCGATGTAGATTTGCTGTTTTCATCGGTGACTTCTCTTAGGCAATTGACTCCAACTGGATGGTATAATTACCTGCTTTAGCTCAAAGAGCGCTTAAAGCCAAAGTATGTGTTAGTGCCTTCTATTTGATCTGGCAGCTGAGCGATGGACGTCCTTCGTATCGGAATGAATGACAAGTTAGCACCGGATTTTTCTAATTGGTCGACATTCGACGTGTACGATCTGCATAATGGCGTTTGCTTTTCGGGCCCTTTTCATTCGATTGAAATGCACACATTCAAAATGGATAACATCCGTAGTTCTCTCGAACATCAAGAATAGATATGGTAAAACAATGATGTCTGTTCTATCTATACATGGGTTAATAAATCATCGTGTCTATCATGAAAACCACAAAAGCAAATCCGCATCTTGTCATTTTATATAATCTATGTGTCAGTGATACACTTTAAAGTTACCAATACTTGATCGGGTTACGGCGAAACGAAAATGCGTTTCGCTAATTATCGCGCTTTGCTTCCATTATCTCATTTGAGAAGTCCAATCCGGCGAGCTGTATAGTAGGGGAGATCCTACGAATGTTGGAGGCCTCTCTTCAAATGTCAGCGCTTTACATACTTAACACTGCCACTGTTACAGAAAGCCACCTGCATTCGATCGCCTTTCGCCAGTGGCTCCAAAGAGGCTCTGCTGTACGTGTTTGATCCCACGCACGCTTTAGTCCTCTTTGACCCGTTCGGCTTAAGCCATTTCAACCTCGGCCAATCAGCATATGCTTCTAGCAATTTCGGCGGTTCCGCATTCCCCTGTTGTACTTATTCGTGCACTACACACTACGAGGGCAAACTACCAGACTGTTCTTATATCCAGTTACTAGAGTATTGTTTTCCTGCCGTGACCAGGCTTCTTGGTTTATACTCTTGCTAGACTCATATAGATAAAAATCCAGGTCTACTTGACGCTTCGTAATTTGTTGGGCCTATTTTAGTTATAATTAGAGTATGCGACCCTATAAAACCCGAGTTTTGTGACTCACTGCATACAACCTTTTTACAAACAATCCTTACTGCTGCAAACTAATCGGGATTAGATAACATTTTTTTGCAGTGGTGTAAAGCGATATAGGAAGACTAAGAGACAAAACCTTGTTCATCAGCATTAGACCGTTCATATCTAGAGATTCGTACAGTGTTAAATCCCTTTGATATGACCAAAAAATTTCCCTTCACCAGAAGGCTGAGTTTCGGTCGTAACGCACAATAGAAGCTTGCTTGGCCGATTTCAGGACGGCTACTTTTATCGCTCTAAGAGAAATCTACCTGTGGCTCCATCCTGTGTAACTACATAGCAATACGTACGTTTCGTGTATGGTTTCAGCAGCAATAACAGCTCCTCTAATTCAGCCATTGGCATGGTAGCATTAAGTTCGGCCCCAGCCAATTACCATGGAACTTCCGGAGGCTCGCGCGGCTTCTTCCCCTCTCCGCCTCAAAGAACTACCTCACCCCCCGGTTTGCAAGACTCTGCCTTCCAGGATGCTGAATCTACCGGCTACAGCTTCGGTACGTATATACTATCGACGAAACAAATTTTTATAGGAAAAAAACTGTTTATTGTACGGATCAATGCTAATTCTGTGTCGACTGCGAAAGGAAGCAGAAGAGACAACACTGAGTTCGCCCATTTGTACGATAGATTAAGCTCACAGAATCTTTTATTGTGTCTAGCTCAAATATCTTATTCTAATGTCTTAAGTTTTAAATGTATGAATACATAATAGCTACATATGATTTTCGGTTACCTATGGAAATGCATAAAAAAAATTTTACGAACGTAACATTAGATTACCAACTCACCATTAGGAGGGCAAAATGTTCGTGCGAGCTGAAACGGTGCTCGTGTTGTGGTGTGCTGATTCGGAGCAATGTTGCCGGTAACCACGTATCACAATTACTAGACAATTGCTACAAACTTATGATTATAGATCAGTGTTAGGATTATGTACCTATATCAAAGCTGTATGAAATATTAGCATATGGCCTGCGGATTACCTTTGCTGCCTTCAAACTTTGCGACCGCTACTCGGGCGCGATGGTATCGATTAAATCTTGTATTGCTAGGTCATTAAGCTACGTGGAATGCTATAATTACAGGCGAAACGTTTACTTTCTGCTTCTGAAGCTTTGGCTCTTAAAGTTTATTGGGATAAAAAAAGCGACACCCAAAAACAGAGGAATTGATTGTAATAACACTTGATACAGAATTCAAAAATACCATTCTCTGTATCTGGGAGTGTGTATTAATATGTACAATTATCACGTCACAGTACGAACCCCTGCGTAATATTGTCTTAGCGTGGCACGCAGTATTTACCCCGTAGTTATCAACGCTGTGCGTGTACATGTAGGTGTATATATACAAGCAACGCAACAGGCAGACAAATCTGAATGAAGGCAGAAGAAAGTAATTTATTAGCGATACACTACAATGGCAGAACTTACTTAGCCTAATGCTAGCCAATTAGCTGATCGTTAAGCCTAGCAGCACAACCTTAGAGAAGATTTCTATTTCAGGAGACTAGCCTGGAAATTTAGACAGTGGAAACATTGATTATAATCTACGACACGACACCTAGTTCAGCATTCGATTTACGGTTAACGGCATTGAATCTTTAAATTTGATTTGCGACTTTTTCAAAATGGCACTCAACATACCTAGTGAAATGTGATTCTGTGGTAATTCTGGAAAACATATTATTTCTAGGTATACGTGTGGTGTCCTGTTGCGGTTTTTCTACCGTGGCTTAGATATATTTGCCGATCTGAGCAGCTTCATAGGTCGTCTAACTTCAACGTCGTTTGCTTTCTTCCTGGGCTGTTTCCGCCGTCTTGCCCATGCGCAGCACTCCGAAAACCCTATGAGCTGCAAAAATGCAGGCCCAGAGTGGACAGTACTTCTCGGCCAGAACGGCTTAAGCTTCTTCGAATGGCATAGTTATCAGAGGCAAAACAAAATATAAACATCTTTGACTGGGTGGGCATCACTGCTTTATGCGAATCTCAGTCAGCTATCTTTTTTCATCAATGTGAAGATTTATCGAAGCTATAATAATAGTACTAGCAATGATATGGATTTACTGAGAAGAGAATCGAGAGAGACTACAGAGGAAATATTCCGCCCAGGCAATCTTCCTCGACTTGTTTGATTCACTAACTAGCCCACTCGAATTTAAGAACCCAGCGGAGCGCATTTAAACCCAATTGACTTTGCGATTTTTGATAGATGTAGAACAAACGAATAGTACATTATCACAGAATATTTCCACGGCAAAAAAATGGAAGGACCTGGGGGGCACTAGGGTGGTCGCCAGCCACAGTTAGTTTTTGACGGTGAGAAAACTTCGCCGGAGTAGGAGGAAAGCGCGATTCTGGCGAGACCCAGAGGTGCTTGAGATTTTCTTGGATGCTCGTCTCAAACCGCTTCTTAGGCAACATCGCTGAGGATAGAGGATTAGTTGAAGCCAAACGTATCCCCTCCTTTGACGAATTAAATCAAAGCAGCTGAAGCTTGCGAGCGATGAGGAAACAGGGCTGAATTGGTGAGACAGCTTAGGCGACATGAAGGCGCCTATGAAGTCGAGCAAGGACTTAGTAGTATTATTAGTCGATAAGTAACCTGTCTGCTTTCCATGAAATAAGTTGTTGATGCCGACTTGACAGACGCGCAGTGAAGCATGTCTGAACTTGAAAATGAATATACTGCGTGTGTTAATCACTTCCGCTGCGTCTATGTAGCGGTGTCTTAAAATATTTTTACGATTGTGTCTTGCTCTTTTTTCTCAGCTCGGTCTTGCCTCGGGGAGAAGGGGGGCACGCCTTTCTTTTATTAGGGGTGTTCTTGCGCAACGCAGCTGTCAATCTTTCCAACCGAACTTTGCGCGTGACGTGGTTACCAGGCTCAAAAATGCATAGTAAACAATAAGCTTTGCTGGTTCGATAAATATAATAAACTTCGATAAATGTTTTTTCATTTGTTGATCTGTCAGGGCAGCTTGGCCTTTTACTGCCCATTTGATTATTGTATTAATTAACTTCTCGTATCCTGTGGTAAAAATTCAGTTGAAAAAGTTGCATAGCAACCGGCTCTGCAGAACCTTTAAAAGAAAACTGACAAACTTACTTTTCTTGTGTAGCAGCCAACAAAACAGGAACCCACTTTCCAATTTTTCAGATTGTTTTTCATGCTACAGTCTACGACTGTCAACTGGAGTTATACTGGCACAACAATTCAAAAGTTCTTCTTTGATCTTTCATTCCACTTCACTGTTGCCAGGGAAACGAAGGTCGTCTTGAGCGAAAAGTACCTTTCAGAAAATGTCCTGCACGAAATTTCTTGAACCAAGCTCGTAACCTATGGATCGACACGCCTATGTCCTCAAAATCCGCACGAATTTCGGCGAAAGTATTCGGCGCGCTGCTTCCAAGTCTCTCCTGTTAGGAGAGAGGTCCACTTTAAATCCCTGCAGGTTTTTGGACCAACAAACTGGGTCGTGTTTGGTACGACCTTAAAAAGGGAAGATTCAATCACAGCGAATACAAGGGAAGTCTTGAATAAGCGAGAACAGTCCACACATCTACATTAACTATAGATTATATAATAAATACGCATACTGTCTCTTTCTCAAACAAAGAAAAAACCGTGATTTTTCTTTCTTATGGAAAATTAACGGCCATTTTTAGAGGTGGTAAAAAAATGAATAAGCTCTCTCAAACATTGACCATTGTTGGAGTTGATCCGCGGCACTAATTGCATTTTGTTGGGACACAAATTCGGCAACAAATACACATAAGCCTACCTGAAAAAGGGTCATGAAACGTCTCTGTGGTCCTTTTACTGCGGCCAGCAATGATGATTTAAATTTTAATTTTTTAAGGTGGTAGGTACTAAAACCTAACCTATATAGTTCGTCTAGCTCTACGCCACAAACGAACTAAACCTTGTCAGTATTCTACATAAGATCAATCGACGATGCAAATGCTATCAGAACAGCAGCAAAGACGAGAACAGCATAAAATTCAGCACGGAAAACCTTTGATTGAGCTCCAGGAAACTGGTTTTTGTCATTAGAAAATTATATCAGATTATTATAAACAAACTCTGGCAGCAATTAACAGTGTCTCATATTTATATTGCTTTACAGGAATGATGGTATATCACCGGCTGCGTAATCTCGGCTGTCCACGAAAACGACGACGATTAATGTCGGACATTGAGCGAATGCTCTCAGCAGCCGAGGAGCCATCCGGTTATAAATAAAAAAATGAGCTCGTAAACGAGACAAGTGAATCTTGGTCAGCATAAACTAGCCACCACTACAGACAGCAACTATCATTGTGCAGAGCATGGAGCTGCACATGGCGTTGACAGATGTACACATGCATGACGATAACATGATGCTATTTTACGATACGCCATCGTCAATCTCAATGAGGACAAAAGTGAAACTTGTTCGAAGGATCTCAAATAACCAATGAACTGAGCGATCATGCGCTGGCTAGCCATCTTGAAAAGGTTCGATTTTTCATCACCTTTAGAAAATTCCCTAATCGAGACTAGATGTGGAGAATGCGAGAAGTGACTGATGGGAAAAATGAAACGGGATCAGCGCCGAAAAAAAAATTCGTGGAGCGTGTGTGCAATAATCTTTGGAATTCTCTAAAAAGTAGGGGGTGTGTCGTGCCGCTGTTTCCTCCAATAATATCTGCAACATCGTTTGTATAGTTGAAGGATAGAAAACAGAAACAGGACTTGAAAAATAAACGAAAATAATCACTGAAGTAAAGTGTAAGTGTACACGCACCTATTGGGCGGTGGCTTCGAGTCTAGTCAGAACTGTGTAATTTAAGATCAACCATCCTATTTCTTTCATGATTAATTTTGTTCTTTATTGCTATTTGTCTCGCAAAACTATAATCAAAGCTCCATGCAGAGTTCTCGTCTGGCAGGGCCGATTTTGTTTCTATTAGATTTAGGTTGGATAGACAGTATCCAATAAAGATGAAGATAAAATGAAATAAATGTAACTGTGGACCAGATTCTGCTGCTTTATGAACTACCGTTTCTAACCAATACAGCTACCCGAATTACTAATATTGGTGTACTCACACAACATTCATTAGGCGTCTTGGAATACCCCAACAAAATGTCCAGAAACGGCAGAGTCCCTCGGACACATCGAAGTACATTTTCCTTTCCGGCGAAAGGAAACCAAAAAGATGTGGAGGAAGCGGTACAGTTAACTCAGTAGCATCGACTGGGCTTATTAGGAGGCCGATGCCAGAAACAGGAACGCTCTGTAAATTATTAAAGAAAGGGGTTTCAACAAAGGATGAATAGATTGAGGAAACGAGATACTGTGAGCGAAATGCATGACTATGAAACGAAGGTCGAAAGGATATAAACAATACGAATAACAGCGGATAGGAAAAATAGAAAAGCGCAACACTACATGAACATAACGGCGACGATGGTGATCGCAGGAGCAGCGGAGCGCGCCAGTGATAAGATGAAGTTGCCATAAATATGCAACTAGAGGGACGGCGCATTACAGCTTCGAGTATGTTATAACGTACTATAGCATGTTAAGGGACGTCACGGATATGAAGTGCGGAAGGTAAGCAAAGTCTAAGTTAGAACGCGTAAAATTATTTAAAAAAAAAGAAGCCAAGGAAGAATGGTAAAAGTAACCGGCGAAGAAAATGAAACAGCCAAAGCCGCAATTAGCAGCTGTGTAGACAGCAGGGAAACCTCGAGGAAATATATTTTTATGTTTTCGGTTACCTTGCTCAATGTTATATCTATGAGGAACACAAAAAAATATTATAATTTGCAGATACTAACCTTCTATAGAAAAAATAGAGTAACTATAGAACAGATCATCCCCGACATCTCTGTGCTGGATGAACAAGATCATCACATTGTGGTGTAGTTACCGCCAGTTTATCTCTGTGTGACGGCTAAACAACTCAAAACCAACCAGTTATATATACATACCGTACACCGTACCGTTATTTGCTGCCCGTGGCCTTGTGCGTATATCTGTGACAGAAAAAACTGCCACCATCTGGTCCTTTAAGGCACAATTCCCTTGCCTCTGATTTCTTCATTATGCAGGTTTTACCGACGATCTTCGCAGACAGCACTGTCCTTTTGTGACGATCACACTAACATCTATAATATTTCACTTAAACGTCCCCAGCAGATCAGGACCTCTGATCCCTTCTTACTGCTTGCGCACTTTATATGATGAAGCCATGCATAAACGAAGTATATAAGGTGAGCAATAAGTGGACGCGACCCCGCCACCAGTCCCCGATGTTGAAACTCGAATGGACCATTATTATCTTATACAACTATTTGTTACAAAGACACAGCGACAGTTGAAAAATAGTGAACGAACTCACAAGGTCACATGGTGATAACGTATTCTCTAAATAATTTGTATAGACAGAAAGAATCACGCCTCCAAGCGTACGGTAGCGATGTTATTTCGCACTGGCCACGGGAAGCCGCATTAAACTCCCGTACTTCCCGACCTATCCACGGATAAATCCTTCATTCCCAAACCCTAGCTGCTAGTAACATTACTATCATTATGAATACTACTATTATTATTATTGCTTAAGTTGTTAACAAGGATTGATGTCAACAAGCATCAATCAGCAGCAGTAATAATAACAGCAATGGTATCCCTAATAAATATAACGACAATAATAAATAATGTGACAAGTACTACCACTACTGTTACCACCACGATAGTAATGCAATAGTGTATAATAATGACAAAATGATAATTAATACTAACAAACTATTATTACTACTATATAATAATTAAGAGCTACATTTTGAATGTACATACTGCTTTATTTCTATAATGAAAACTTGAGAGAAATGAAGAAGTCGACCTTTTGCGGCAACGGTGGTGACGATAGTGTTACATAATACAATAGCATTACTACTACGACGCCGACAGGAAGCGACATGAGCTACTGGGTACCGAGTGATTTGTTTATTTCTAGCACATAAAATCGACAGACAGACACACAAACAAACGAATAAACACGAAACTGGATAAGGGAAAAATACCAAATGCTGCAGCAGCTACAAACGCCGGTAAACCACATATAGATTTGCTGGTTACATGATATATATATATATATATATATATATATATATATATATATATATATGAGACTATAAGGATGATTATTAATGTACGAATTATTATATAATAATTATTGCTATACAATTATATTGTAACGGGACGAAAGTAACACAAACGTAGCAAATGAGGGCAACAAATGGAGGCGACAAACAGGAATGATGATGAACTGACGGCAGAAACAGCAACGACTAATTACTACTAATAATAATGATAATAATAATGATAATAAACTATTCATTGGTGCCAAATCTTTAACGTGACGATTTTTTCATTCCAACGTTGTACGCCTGAGCGTAAACGTCGAGCGATGCAAACACTTCTGGCCATACACATGGCGCAGATCTTACACCGACAGGATCTATCGGCCGCTATTAGTGCTAGATGAAGTACGATGAACCGTCTGATGACTAAATGCAGAACGAAAGAAACTGAAAATATAATGTAATAGAGGTAGTGTACATGTGTTATTGCTAAATGAATTTCATAAAAGCATTCGACGCTTAGGCAAGGGACAAAGGCAGTCAACATAAATTCACCCTTCTATAGTGCAGTGGAACTTAGAAACATATCAAATGATTTAGGCTTGAAGCCCGGTAAAGACGGGTACATTCCCTGCTGGAAAAGGCTAGCTACTTGAAGCAATGCTTAACAACGTTATTCGTTGTAGAAGCTCGCAACATTTAAATTAGTCGATAAAAGATATGATTGACAGTACGGCGTATATCTCCTAAAATGTTTACCCGGTTAAAAACCGACGCGTTTCTACAGATAAGGTGGATGCGCGGTAGCCTGCAGATCGCGCCTAGGCTTCTCGTCTGGTTGATTTGTATTTAACCTACCTACACCAAATAGCTCATAGTGCACATACGTTAGCGTACGCACAAACGCTACCAGTTTGCTAGTACTGCACCTATGATTAGACCTCTGACTGCGTCAGATTAGTATAAATTTTTAATTGAAAAAATTAAAATAAAAGAAGAAATCAGAGTAAATCGCTTCAGGTATTGTCTTTGCCCTGACATCAGACTATTTAGATGACAAGCCATTTTATTTTAGGCTCATTGAGCTTGTTGCGACTGTGAGTCGAGAGCCTGCTTATTACCAGCCACATCCTAAGGTTCAACCTTGTGATGTCATTGAAGTGGTGCCGCTTCTTCAACCAATAGCTTATCTATTTGTCTCTGCATAGTTGGGAATAAAATTAACCCAAATAAACAAAAATGGTATAACGAACAGAATATTGTTCAAACTATATTATTTTCCGCTATTATAACGATAGACAATGGGCTTAACATTTAGGTAGAACATTTTGACGCGTAGCCTTGATTAAGGCTCAGACTAAAGTAATTATATCTTCACAATGACAAAGGCATTGCCTAAATTTATTACGTCAAAAATGAGAGAGATCGAGTGCAAGAATGTCTATAGTAACGCTATCTTTATCGGCCGAAAAGGTACCGATCTTTGTTTTCAGACTATAATCTCACACCATCATCCTAGCAGAAAAGTTACCTTTAACTTATCGTGTGCGTGAGTCTCGTATGCATGCTAAACCAGCACACTTGCGCTCTTTGTTTTCCTTTCGGCCATACCTAAAGTAGGGAAGTTATATTATTATACTCTTCAATCATTAGCACGTTAATAAATCGCTACCGCTCGGTAGGTCAGACAGGTAAAATATTACTGTCTTAAAATTTTGTATTTGGTAACTACATTTACAGCTGTATCAACCCAACGAGTTGATAAACATCTCTATGTATATTAGAAAGTTCTAGTACGTGTAGATAATTTAATTATCTTGAATAATTATTCTCCTTCATTACTTGAGAGATATAAAAGGCTAAACGACTGCATTCAGTGCTCGTGGTTCCTCCACAAAAGCGAACCTTGAACATCTAAGAACTAGATAAATTGAAAGACATGTATATGCATCCCTGCTTTTGTCCCGTTTTGTACCAAAAAAGTTACTTTACAGTTGAAGACTTAGCATTAAATAAATCTTGCCCTCGTTACAATAGTTTATATTCTGTTATTTTTGGGAATGTAAAATTAGAGGTATTAATGAAATATGCATCCCTCAAAGCGACACCAAAGGTTTTTCAAGAAGAGTGAAGAATCCGGTGCTGGATTAGGTTACTGATCTTTTCTATCGTTTCGCAGTAATCCGAATTAGGCTCATGTAGTTACTGTGTTTCTTGATCCTTTGATACTTATTTGCCAGTCAAATACCACAACATAAGTTATCAGTCTATCGGCCTTCTAGCAGTTTTAGACAGTCAGATAAGGTTTATTCATTTATGTCCCTTGTCAATCCTGAAGTCCTGGACTCAACCAGTTATTCTTAGCAAAGATGTTCGCATTGCACGGATGTTAAATCCTTGTCCGTTTACTGTGTTCCTTGCAGCGCCTCATACGCTAAACGTTAAAAGTAGCAATATCCTAAAGCAGGTAAATACGCTGAGTCAGCCTTTTCAGCTGGCTTATTGCCCTTCCGATTGGGCTGCCTATAGAAAATGAAAGAGCAGAGCCTGACTGCAGAGAACGTATGGATGAACCCTCAAAAATATTGTTATCATAAGCTTTGTCGTGATTCAAAAGGCATTTTTTTCATAATATACAAAGTCGGATTTGTGTTCCTCGCAGAAAATATAATTATTTTTTATGTCACCCCGAAATTGCGAAGAAAAGTCACTTTTGACTCCATTAGCATTCCGTGATTTGATTGTTTCATTATGTAAAGCTCACTAAGTTCTGTATAAAGTAACTTGGTTCTACGTTATAACATTCGTACTAGATATGGAATATTTAAGAAACTGCTCCACTTAACGGCTTGTTGAAGGTATTCTTAGAAAAACGCTAATCAAGTGCGTTGTATCATGTGCTGGAAGACTAACATTGGCTCTGGTAAAAATTATTGTAAATTTTCGTAAAAATACAATGCTGGAAGAATACAATTATTTGTATTAAATTTATATAACAAAAACCCTTTTCAAATCAATTCAGGCATTTTTTCAAATGTTTGAAGTTGAAAAATCTCAAAAGTTCGATTTAATTTGAGAAAGTTATTAACTTAATTTGATTCGATTTGATTTGAGAGGTGCTCAATATATAAGTAAAAATTTTACATTTTAAAGCTACTTGAAAAAATGTATAAATGGCCGAAAACATTTCGCCTTTAATTCAATCCCACCTTTAATCAGGAAAGTCGATCTTGCTTCGTTCATTTTTGATAGATAG